AGATAGATAGATAGATAGATAGATAGATAGATAGATAGATAGATAGATAGACACTTTATTGATCCCCAAGGGGAAATTCAAGGTTCCAGCAGCTTAAAACATTACACACAACATACACTACAGTTCACACCGCATCTTACAAAATACTAAATTAACACAACTACCAGATCAACACTAATAGGGGATAAAAAGTACTAAAAAGCACTTGAAAACTAGATACTAAATACAAATTTAAAACATGCATGTTAAAAGTGCATTTTGGCTAGTGTAGCAAGTAGAGTCAGACAGAGTACAGTTCCATCAGTCTGTATGGAATATAGAAGAGGATTTAACATTCAACTAAAACATAGATTACACAAGTACCATACAGTTATTCTGATCATTTAAGGGTTTAAGATGCTTAATGAATATTGTTTTTACTGTAACAGTGTTTCGTATTTTGTAATTAGGTGTAGATGTTATGCTAATATGAGATATTACACATGGACACAGTCTGGACAGACAGACTTAGAACACCTCTCTGAACAACTAAGAAACATGAAATATCACGAATTCATATGGAAAACTGTGTTAAGCTAACTGTGTTAAGCTAACCACCTGTGTGCTTACTTTGTGTGTTTGGTGACAAATAGTAAAATTGAGTGTTGTATTTCATACTGTTCCTTTCCAAAATAATACCTAATATAGCTTCAAATGGCTAACTGTATATGTAAACTGCTGATTCTGATAAGGGAATTAAATCATTATTGTGGAATTACGACTTTTAACTTGAATGCATGTACTGGGTTAGGCAGGAAATCTATTGGCACACCAGCCCCACCAAGATTTTTTTTCACCAGCCGCCACTGCATAAGAATTATACAAATATAAATATGAAAATTCGAAATAATTGTAAAAAAAGAAAAAGTTATTCGCCCAACGTGGGGCTCGAACCCACGACCCTGAGATTAAGAGTCTCATGCTCTACCGACTGAGCTAGCCGGGCGATGTTTCGTCTTCACAAAGTTGGTTTAATATCCACACACATATTTGTAGATCAAAGTAATCTGCGTATATTGACTGGATATTTTCGTCTATTTGTCAATAAACAATGTGCGACCTCATTTTCAAACGTTGCTAGGCAAATTTGCATGAACTTGTCCGTTGCCATGGCAAGTTTCCAGACGTTTGGCGTCTTTTGTACGATACTAATTGTATACATATTACATCATATAATATAATAATAAAATAATATAGTCTCTATAAAACAGCCTGACCAATTTGTAATGAGACAAACCTTTCGAGGAGGTGCATTTCTCGTCTTTTTTCTCTCTTGAAAACCAGAAGATTACGGTTATTTTTTAAAACTTCTAATTCCCATAATGCACCGCCAGATGGCACTAACTCCTCAGCAGAGTTTAGAAGTTACATAAAACGTGTTTCGACAATTAATTCTAATAATGTTTAGCACGAAAATACATGGTGACGGATTTGGGAACCAAATAAACTGTTTATTGTAAAAAATTAAAAATGAAATAATGGGGAGTCGTCGCTATACCACGTGACCGAATGCGGAAGTGACCCCAGAGAAAGAGAGAGAGAGGAGAGAGAGAGGAGAGGAGAGTTTGAGCGCGCGCTTCAGAGGCTGAGCAGCTTTAAACCGACAAGGCTGCCCCACGCGCACGACTTTGCCTTTGTTTTGCTTCCCCACACGACGATAATCGAGGCAGGACGGAGTAAACTGAGGTGGGTCAAACTTTAGGGGCACGAGCGAAGCCGGCCAACGGTCAGCGCGCGCGGGGCGGTTTGCACTTTGATGCTGCAACTTTATTTCTAACGCCGCAGTTTGCAGAGAATTAAGGAATTTATTTTTTATTTAGTTAGCGTTAGCCAGCAACCAGAGAGCTCCCTGTGCTCATAGCCACCGTTTACTCGTTTTTTATCTGGTTTTTTTAGACGTATTTGCATTAAAAATGTGCAGAATTGCATTGTTTTGGGGGTTAAATTTGTGATTTTGTGATGGTAAAGCTAACCTGTTTGGAGACGATTTCTAAAGTCCCGCGTGATCCAAAGGGGATGGGACCATTTCATGCCTCCTGCCTTTTAAATGGCAAACTTTCCCAGTGTGACCCTCTGGATATCCGGTAAGGCTAACAGAGATGTGAGTTAGTTCAGTAATTCATCTGTTTTCTATCCCTCCTGCCGTGAAAACTAAAAGAACAGATCAGGGAGGGAGTACCTGTTGGCCACCTCTTTATTTAGCATTAGTATTATGCCAGAAAACATAGTTTATCTCACTATTTACTGCTTAATGTGGAGTTTTAGATGGATTCAAGCTACATTTTCAACAGGTAAATTGTTGGTTTTTGCATCAGTTTGCAACAGAAAAACAAAAATAAAGCGTTCTGTTTTGATGTGGCTTTTTGTTTTTGGGCAATTGTAGCTGAGCCAGTGGTTTTTAGGCAGATTATCTTAAACTTAACACGCCGGCAGGATGTCTGCTGTAATTCCTTCTTAGACAGAAAATAGTGCATTGTCTGCAAGTGTAGTGGGTCAAACGGGAACAAAGAGCCTGATTGTGATCTCCCCAATCCGCCTCTTCACCCCCGCACACGTTTCACTGTGAGTTAACTTAGTTTTTGCTCTCGGTGAGGTGGCTCTTTTCCCTCTGGGATTAATGAAGTATTTCTGATTCATTTGCAGGTTTAAGGTGAGTTTCTGGGCTCAGGGTGCTCAGTTTGAATCCCATCAGGGCTTTTCTGACACATTTAGGTGCTTTTACGTGAAATCTGATGGATATCTGGATCTGTTCTTCCCCAGTTTGGAGCTTAATGATGTCAAAGACGAGGACAGTTTAGTTTACGGCACATTTAGTTTACAAAACGATTCAAATTTCTGCTTTTAAAGAATTTAAAAGCATAAATAAAGCCATTAAGTGGCTGTAAGTAGGAGCTTTTGTCCACTTTTCAGGAATAATTTGAATAATTTCCATTTATCCGGTTCTTTTAAAGAATTGAAAAGCAGAAAGACAAAGAGAGAAAATTAATGAACAAAACAAATTGCATTGAATTTCCATCTACAGAGTTAAATAGAATTGTCTTCAGCCTGGATTTAAACAGGAAAAGAGAGGGAAATAAACAAGGAACAGGGAGGCTCTACCTCGTTGGTGGTTTCTGACTGGGGGGGCAGAGAGGAGCCCCCCCACCCCGCGTGTGAAATCCAGATCAGCCGTTTTTCTGGATGCTGTGGCTGCTTCTCTGAGCCTAAATCGGGTATTATCTTGAATTCTGGCAGCGTTTAAAGTCTAAAGTGGCGAGCGATGCTATTTGTTTACACCGTTCACAGAGAGAACAGCAACACCCCAGAGACCAGAAATGGTCAATATTAGTCATTATTTTATTAAATAAAATGGAGAATGAACAGTACTTTTGGGACGTTTCAAAAGCTTGGAGCATCACCCTCAAACGGTTGGATGAAATGAAAAAAACCATCCAAACTCACCATGAAAAAACCAAAAACGTCAAATATGTTAAGAGAACAAACTTGTGAACCCTTTAAAACAGGAGCCTGCTTGCCTTTTTTTAACTTTAAATAAAGCCATAAAGTGTCTGTAAGTCAGAGCTTTTGTCCACTTTTCAGGAATAATTTAAATGTCTGCAGTTAGAATGACAACAAACTGGGTTTTATCTCCTGAAGGTGTTGTATTGTGGTTGGAATGAGGCTGATTCATGGGTCTCTGCAGATGTTTGTTGGTTTTGAAGCTCAAACTCTTCCCTTTTAGCAACAGTCTAAATGTTTCTGACGGCTTGAATTCTGCAGAATTACAGTAATTCAAAGTGTGTGTGAGGCTCTCAGAGCAACGCTTCTGGTTTGCAGCTCTGAGCTTGTTTTTAAAGGCTTTAATCTGTTAGTTTTGTTAATTTATTTTCCTGTTTTGGAGCCACAGAGCTATGTGATGATTTCTTTAACCTGGAGTGTCGATAAAGTGCCAATTTCTCCTGAAGCTTTCTTGACTTTATCCCTGAAGGAGCCTTGAGGCCTTAAAATACGGAGGTGTCTGTTCTTTGATCTCTCGGAGAGAGAAAAACAAACCTAAAAAGGAGTGTTTGAACTTTCAAGCCTTTCCCAAAGTATCATTTGGCCTGGGTTTGGGGCGCCTCCAACAGGGGCCAGACACTTACACTTAGACTTCCTTTATTGTTATTGCACAAAAAACACCAGGTGAATCTTGACAAGGAAATGTCGATTACTTGGCTACCAGTGTAACAGAGCTAAGACCTTATTCCTGCACGGTAAATATGTTTTCTGTAACTAAGAGCTAGCTATATGCAGGGTAAAGAAGTATATATATATACATATATCTTGCACTGAGTTATTGCAAAAAGAAACATTAAGTTGAGGACAAAACTAAACTAAGGTGCGTGTATTGTCCATGTCCATGGGGGGTGGTTTTAGGGTGTGTGTGTGTGTGTGTGGAGGAATGTTATGTGGCGTTAAGCAGTCTGATGGCCAGGGGGGAGAAACTGTTCAGTAGTCTGGTTGTTCTGCAGAAGATGTTGTGGAACCTTCTGCCGGACGCCGGGGGGGAAAACAGTCCATGGGTGGGGTCGGAGAGGAGAGGATCTGGTGAGACCGGGATAGGGCCTCCAACTGGGGCATAAAGAGCCTAAGGGCCTCCAACCGGGGCCTAAGGGCCTCCAGACTAAAGGCCTCCACACTAAGGGCCTCTAACCGGGGCCAAAAGGCCTACAACCGGGGCCTAAAGAGCCTAAGGGCCTCAGGCCGGGGCCAAAGAGCCTCAATCCGGGGCCTAAGGGCCTCTAACTGGAGCCTAAAGACCTCCAGACTAAAGACCTCTAGACTAAAGGCCTCCAACCTAAGGGCCTCCATCCGGGGCCTAAAGACCTCCAACCGGGGCCAAAGTGCATCTAACCGGGGCCTTAGCAGACTAAGGGCCTCCAGACTCTTTTAGACCCCCCTCTCCAAAGAGCATCTCCTATCCTCATCCTAACCCGTACCTCTACCCCCCCACAGCTCCTATCCTAACCCTAACCCACAGCTTCTTTTATAGTCCCTCTACCTCTATCTCTATCTCACCACTGACTCTGATCAGTGTTTCTCCTCTGGATAGCTTATTGTCATAGTGATGTGAAATGTAATATTATGTCTACTCTGTAAGTCGCTTTGGATAAAAGCGTCTGCCGAATACATAAACATAAGGGCCTCCAGACTAAGGCCCTCCACCCGGGGCCAAAGGGCCTCCAGGCTTCCCAAAGCCGTAGTTTTATAAAAACATTTTTTATTTATTTATTTATTTAATCAGGACAGTGCACATTAATGAACAATCTCATACAGATTGTAAATGAGCCAGATTATAGCATAGTTGCTAGTTTACATCTGTCGTCCTGAGGCAGGAAGACCAAACAACACAGAATCACAAAATACAAAATCAGTCCAAACACACGTTCAGACAATGACATTACAAAATAAAAATTAATTCAATTCAATTTTATTTATATAGCGCCACATCACAACAACAGTTGTCTCACAGCTTTCCAAACAGAGCAGGTCAGACCAAATCTGAAGTTGATTACAGAAACCCAACAATTCCCACCATGAGCAAGCACTAGGCGACACAGGCAAGGAAAAACTTCCTTTTAACAGGCAGAAACCTGGAGCAGAACCATAACCCTGTCCCGGCTTTGGCCTGCAGGGGGACGGACACCTGAGAGCTCAAACAAACGGCCGCTCCTCTCCTCTCCTCCATGTTGGATACGGAGATACGGGTCTCCATCTGTGGGAAGCTAATCCCCCTTAAGCCGTTGTGTTGTTTCCCTCTAATTGGAGTCTCTGTCGGGAAGCTGCCGCACAGCTGGGCTCTCAGCCCCAAATTTACCCAAACACGTTTTAGCTTTTTAACTCATCGACTGCCAGACATTTTCAGAACGGAGAGTCCCATACTGCCAGAGTTTTTTGAGCATTTTGACTGATTTTTTCAAGAGCCACAGAATAGTTTGTGCTATGACTATGTAAACACCGAACACACCAAAAGAAAGAGTAGACTCTCTTCTTTCATCAGGAAATTTTTTTTTGTTTCTACCTTATTCTGTTCTTGCGTCTCATCGGCGACATTTCTCGCATAGCAAACCATTGCGTTTTTTTTAATTTGCCTACAGTCTATGCTCATCTCCCATCAAAAGTGGCACTGTCCCCTAGAGGGTCAATTTGTTACTACATACTCTGTCTAGAAGCCTGATATTTACGGACAAGCTTTAGCAGATCGTCTCCCAGCCACTCGCGTTGAAAAACATAAAAGACGTCTATAGACGTCTTTGGCAGCCAACGAGTTAAAAATGGGAAGCAAAAATCTCCCAGCAAAGCTCCCATCCCCAGTTCCTCCTCATGCCTCCCGTCTAATAACATCTCTCTCTCTCTCTCTCTCTTTCTTTCTCCCTCCTTTCCAGGGTTGTTCTGGGGCCGGGCAGCTGAGATGGTCGGCCTGTGACGGACTCTGGAGCCACTGGAGCAACATGGCCGCCGCCAAGAAGAGTGAGTTTCCCCCTCTGTGATGCTGGAGGGTGATGCTGGGTACCGGATATTAGGGAAACCGAACAAAGGGAGGAACCGGTGCACCATCAGGGAATCCTCATGTCTAAAAACCTCAAACTCAGACTTTTAATCCTCAGTCTGATGATGATGTTGTTGTTCTTCTTCTTTATTCTTCTTTTTATTACTTATTCTTCTTTATTCTTTGTTCTTCTTCTTAATTCTTTATTCTTCATTTTTTTATTACTTATTCTTCTTTCTTCTTCTTATATCTTCTTTGTTCTTCTTTATTCTTATTTCTTCTTCTTTATTTTTTGTTCTTCTCCTGCTTTATTCTTGCTTCTTCTTTTTTATTAGTTATTCTTATTTCTTCTTCTTTTTTCTTTGTTGTTCTTTTTTATTCTTCTTCTTTTTATTACTTATTCTTCTTTATTCTTTGTTTTTCTTTTTCTTTTTTCTTACTACTTCAGTCTTCTTTATTCTTCTTCGCTCTTTTTCTTTCTTCTTCTTTCTTCTTTCTTCTTCTTCTTTTATTTAAACTACACAGTGAAGGATAAGCCATCACATTCCGCTCATTAAATGATCAATTCAGTCAGAAATTCTCTCTCAGTGCATTCGTGTTTTCCTCTAAAACTGGTTTTACTGACGCTAGCATTCATTAACATTCACCTTTCACGATGACGGGACTCTGATTGGCTGGAGTCCTTCTTCTTCTGTCCAATCGGGGTCACCTGTTGACCCTCTGACCCAGATGACGGAGAATCTTGAATTTTGACTCTTTCTGTGAGGAATTTCTCGTGTTTTGGGGCTATACACATGAACTCTAATGTGATTAAACCCGTCCTTACATGCCATGTTTCAGAGATTTCCGCTAACATGTGACATATTCCACACTTTTGTCCTAGTTTTGCTCAATCTGAGCTTCTTTCTAGGCCATTATAACAGAGAAAACGGGTGTTTTTTTAAAAAGAAAATCCGGTCTGAGTATCCATAAATAGCGTTCTCGGTGGGTTTACCTTCGGATTATCTTGGAATAAAACTTCCAGGAAGAAAGATCATCGCCGTTTTAGGCAGCTTGCTTTTTTTTCCCCTTGTTCTGCGAGGATCGTTTGATGGTTAAATATTTAACTTCTGTGCAGAAAACGCTGCACATATGGAACATGATGTAACTTCTGAACTCATTATTGTGACCCAGATCTCTCGGAGGAAAGGATTTCTAATCTGTAATAAGTTTAATGGAGCCGGGCCCTCTTAGGACAGGGATGTGTGCTTTATGTAAGGCCTGTGCAGGAGTCTTCGTATTATATAAACACTATCCGAGCCATCTGATACCCAACCGCTCCACCACCTGGAGGAAAAGTGGTTTAAGTAAAGAAAACTCATGCCTTTTCTCTCAGGCGTTCAAAAAAAAAAGAAATTCTGATGCTGATTTGTTCTCAGTTTGAGTCTGAATCTAATCAGCTGTTGATAAAAACAATATTTTCTGTCCTTTGAGGCCAAAATGAGACGTGCAGAAGCCTGGAGGCGCGTGTATTTCACATATTAGCCCGTTTAATGGAGCTCGTTTCTCCAGTTGTGGCTCAGGTTAAAGGCTCCTCTTCTTCCCTTAAAGGGTTCCTCTCAGAAAAAGTCGCCTTTCTTTCTTTTCTTTTCCGCATCTCGGTTGCACGGAGAGACGAAAAGCCATTAAAGCCGGACAAAAACACGGAGAGGAGCAATATTTAAGCTGCTTTGAGGCGGGGAGGGGAGGAATCAACTGGACGCCACTTTCTTAAAATGTCCTCCTCTGACTGGAAAAACCGGTAGAGCATTTGCACAGAAAGCAGAAACTCCTTTGTTTGTTGGACCAGTAGCAGCCAGTGTGGAGGTTAAAGGGTTTACATGCCCCCGGGGGGGGGGG